TTGATACTTTTTCATCACAAACTGTCCACAAGCATTAACACAAGTGGAATATTGTGGCAGGCAACAACTGAGTGAAGGACCAGGCAACACTTCTGGGGCAACCCGACTGCACAACACCAAAGAGCAGTGTCGTCACCACGTACGGGGACGGATCGTACGGACTTCCGTACGACGGTACGTACGGGCCCTCAACGTCCCTATGGCCTATACGTACAGATTTCCGGCCCTTCATACGTGGCCTTCCAAGGGGGTGTTGAGGGGGTGAATGGGCTGGGGGAGGTGCGGGTGCTGGTGGCGGTGGGGGGTTCCCCCTCATTCAAAAAAAAAAAACAAAAAAAAAAGAAGATTTTTTGTTTGAGCCCAAAACTCCGGGTGTAAAAAAAATAATAATAAAAAATTGATAATTGATTGATTGATTCAATGATTGATTGATTCAATGATTGATTGATTAATTGGTTGGTTGATTGATGATTGATTGATTTGATTGATTGATTGATTGATTGATTGATTGATTGATTGATTGATTGATCGTAAAATACAAAAACAAAAGAAGAAAAAAAGGAAAAAAAATCCATGCAAAAAATGAAAGATTGATTAATTGATTGATTGATTGATTGATTGATTTGCTGTTGGTGGGTTGCCTCCCCCTGGCGAATACGCACACACACACACACGAAAACAAGTGTGGCAGTGTATATTTCCATGCTCTAGAGGTAGATTCATTCGATTTCGCTCATCCATTCGATGGAAGTACCATGAGGCCAGCCACGAGGTTCGATACACCCCCTCTCTCTCTGTCTCTCACACACACACACGAAAACAAGTGTGGCAGTGCATATTTTCATGTTCTAGCGGTCGACTCATTCGATTCATTCGATGGAAGTACCACAAGGCCAGCTGCGAGGTTGGAGATCTCTCTCTCTCTCTCCCACACACACACGCACACACACGCACACACACACACACACACACACACACACACACAACAAACAACAACAAGTGTGGCAGTCACAGGCAGTGTATATTTCCATGTTCCTGCGGTAGATTCATTCGATTTTTCTCTTTTGTCTCTCTCTTTTTTCGATGGCAGCTCTTTTTTTTTCTTTTTTTTTAATAGTATGGGCCCCCTTGAGACCCCCCTACCATCCCTGGGGTCGCCCCCCCCCGTCACCCCCTTACCGCGCCCAGGCACGTTCGGACGGGCCCCGTCTGTACGACCGTATGACCGTCCGTATGACCGTACGCCCGTCCGTATGACCATACTCCCGTTCGTACGTCCGTACGCACTGGCCGTACGCAGACCCCCCCTACGACGTACGGGGGACTACACTGCCAAAGAGAACTGGATGGAATGAGAACACAAGTGGACAGGCAGCACAGCAACAGTGCAGCAAAGCACGAGGCAACACCAAAGAAGCAGCCAACGACACAGCACACAAGCAAAGAAAGCAGATCGGCAGCAAGGCCACAGGCAGTGAAGCACAAGGCAACACCAAGTGCCAGCAACGAAGCGGCCAGACTGCACGGGAAACACACCAGTACACACCAGCTACAAAGAACGACCTGGGAGGCAAGTGGGATGGTAAAAAAAGCAGCGGCCAAGCACAGACAAGGCAGTCCACACATCCAACACCGAGCAAAGCCATCCAAGACCTACTTGCACGACAAGAAGAACCACGGAGACAGTTGGTTCCCACTGCCCACTGAACCAGTAAGCACAGCGACGGAAGTCTATAATCACCCATAGACCATATGCACCGCAGACATCACCGACATAGTGTCTCCCCTAAGAGTCCTGCACGCACTCCAAACAACGGAGCACCGACTGTTTAGCACATCTTAAAGGTGCTCACTTAGACACAGAAAGTAAAATTCCAGAGAGGAAAAA